ATAAAAATATGAAAATTGAATGAATGCTTAGTTGGCCATTCGATCTTCTTCATGAAATGATCTACAGATGACAGAACACTGACATTTTTCTTCTTCTCATAGATCGTGATTGTACTATGCGGCAGCGCACGGAAGCACCGCGCTATAAATTGATGAAGTGTGTGTATACAAGTATACAGTACATCCGTGTTCGATAATAAACGGAGCTAGATGGAGAAAACTTGCGCAAAACCGCTATTAGGAAGCTTGCAGGTACCGTCTGCACGTTGAAATTTTTATTAATCAAGATTTTTACCGTTGGCCATTCAAGATAATTTGTGTAGGGTCAAGTTTAAGTAACTTAGGGGATGTCTGTACTTAAAAGGATAGGTGGAGCAGTAGCGGGATGAAGTGGTTGTTTGCTCTGCGCTTTGGAGGTGCCGGGTTCAAGCCTGATTGATAAATTTTCTAATATTAATTGCTAATTTCACTGTGCTTCGGAACAAACCAGTCACAAGGGCAGCTAGCAGGTCATTGACTTATCGATAATACACGGTGTTTTGATGTGGCCATGCTAAAACTTGTGAGACACGGCTGTGTTGTCTAATGTGTGCGCCTTGTGGCTGCAGTTTTCCTTGACTCATTTGATTGCTTGCAAAAATCAGCACAAAGTGTAAATGTAAATTTGAAAAGAATTTAAAATTTATGCAATTGTGAAGTGACTAATTGTAAAAGATTGCCGAAGCACTATTTCACTGAACAGGATGTAAAGTTTGACTCATTGCATCAAACCCGGGGGTTAGTTTAGCGTTGCCATCTGCCTAACTGTGCATGTATTTGCAAGTTGAGTTTTAATTTGACAGCTCTTTGATTTATGGCTGTTAATCATGGTTTCGCCATTACCGACGAAGTTTCTTCGGAGTACAGTGTATCCGTCCGTTTTCCCGTAACGTACCTTTGCTTATGTGAGTCTGAAAGTATGCGTATGCGTCACGAAACGCGAGGTTACACAGTGCCCTGATCACATAGCTGCTGTTGACTCTGCTTTTAAAGTGTGGCATTCCTGGCTGACTGCTTGAAAAGGGAGATTGGCGCCCCCATTGAATTCAGGGGAAGAATTTCGCCAGAAATGGCCCGATCATGAAGGTGCACGATCAAGATCGACATTCGAACGGTTACAGGCTTGCCGATTTTGCTTATCGTATCATCACGGCACTACTCAGCATGTGATCCGAGCGGATGAAGTTCGTCGATGGGCCGTAAAACGTGCCTCAAACTGCTCTGGCTATGGGACGGTACAAATGCAGGCGATGCCGAGATGAAAAGCAGTCAGTGTGAATGAATCTAAATCTGGCGAGGGAACTTGTTCGACGGGCGAGTGTTTCATCTATGAACAGTGTACTCATCTCTTATGTTTCGTCGTCGCTCTGATAGACTACGCACGTGTGTTCTGCAGCGGATATATGATGACGGATTGGGCGATTCATGGCATGAATTCTCATCC